ACTTTTTTGGTTATTGACCGTAGGGTTAATATTTTTCCGACCCGCAACCACATTTTTGTATATGGCAATCTTGTTCTCTATATGTGTAAACCACTTTGGCTTGCTTTTTCAGTTGTCGAAAAATTGTGCATGGGTGACCATGTTTTCTCAGTGTCATTGTAAACTTTTATTCATTTGGTTTTAAGGGCGCAGTTTTCTTTCGTCAAACAATTTTTTTGTATTCCAACAATCATTTCAAACATAACTATTGTAATTTCTTTCATATATATTTATTACAAAAAAAGTTATTTTAAATTTCCGTAAAATGCCTTTTAACAAGCCCATTATACTTGAGTAAAAAAAGGAGTTTTTAACTTTTGGCTTTGATTTCTCAAAATTTCAGTTTTCAGTTTTGAACACTTTGAGTTCGTCCATTAAAACAGTAATAAAATATTTATTTATAGTATGTATTTATTCACATGTGTATTTTAAAATATTTTATAAGTTTTAAAGCAAAATTTTATGTTTACCCATAGTGTTGAACTTTTGTCCGACTTTAAATTTTTGGTAATATTTTTGGTAAAACAAATTTTACCAAACATTATATATTTTTAATGAATGTCATTTTGCATTTCTTTGCAAATCCTACTACAAATCGTCAATATCGGCATACTTTTTGGGAGAGCCCCCATATAATGGTACCGGTACCGAATTTAATGCCTCTTTTTAAATAATCAATAATTTAATTCTCTTCTTGCCTTTTAATTTAACGACAAATTCCGTCTTTAGCATAACGGTAGAATAATTTTCACCTGGCGCCAAGCGTCATAAACTTTGAAACCCAAAATTTCATTATATTCCGAGTCGACCTCTCTCAAAGCCTCCCCGAATAGTTTTCCTTCAATCCATTTCGGAACATTTGATGGACCTGAATCGTTGTTGTTATTGGCACCCATTGATAAAATTGAATTCGTAATAAATTGCGGCACGCGTTTATTTATGCCAGCTGTTTGGACACCCTAATATGAGAACCTCTCTGCATGAAGTTGTAATTTAATTTTGTTTTGATAGAAAATATTGTTTACTCATAAAGATATTTACTCTCGAGATCACAAAAATTTGACGACTGTTTACGCAAAATGTATAAAAGGAAAGGTGAAAAAATATTCGTTATATTTCCATCATATACTGAGGGCCACTCATGGTGTGAAGTAATAAAATTTATATAATAATAATAATTTATATATTATATATTTCATCACACTGTTGTACAGGGTATTATGTTTTTGTGCATATGTTTGTAACAGACAAAAGGAAACGAGATAGACACACGGTTCCTTCTGACAATTTGCATAGAATTACTTTCTAAGTCGAATGATGGATGTCCCAAGGACGAATTCTATTGAAATTGGAGAAAATCGGTTCAGATTTTGTTATAGCACCCGTATATAGTTTGGTCCGATATAGGGTAAATGGTGTACCAAATCTTTGCATATCTTTCGATTTTCACGAAATTTGGTATAGCGTACTGAATTAAGTTTAGAATGATGGGTATTATGTTACGAGAAAATCGGTTCAGATATAGATACCATATATAATTTCGTCCGATTTAATGTAAATGGTCCACAAAGTTACTATAACATACCGTGTGTCAAATTTTGTTGGAATCGGTTCCGATTTAGATATAGCTCGTCTCATTTTAAGAAAATTGTACATCAAACTCTTAATGTTTGTTAGATTGACATGCAATTTTCCACAAAGTACAAAATAGAGCTTAAAATGCGTTTTGTAGAAGTACAGACTTAGTCCATATATATTTCCGACCGACTTCGTGTTAATTGGGTTCCAAATATTCAACTGGTGTCCGATAGATATTTGCTTTAAATCGATTTACATATTATTTTTAAGAAACAAATGACACGTTTATGGATTGATATAAATCGGTTTGCATTTAAATAAAGATTACATATTTTAGATCATCCAATTTCATGTTAATGGTCCGTCATGTTAATGCGACATTTGTTAGAATGCATATTTTTAATATACCCATATCTTATTTTTTTGGGAAGGAAAATTACAGCGAATTTGGTTGAAACTTGCTGAAACGCCCCAAAATAACGAATAATATGGGGGTACCTTAATATGGGGGCCATCCTAAGTTTTTGGTAGGACGATATCAAATTACAAATTCGGATAATAAAAAAACCGTAATATCAAATATTTGGGTGTACTGTCATATTTGGGCTGTTCCAAAACGTGGATCATTTTCAATACCAAACATCCTAGGAGTAATAACTATGTATATGATAAATATCAAATCTCTATCCGGTGAATATTTCAAGGTGTTGCAATCGAAATGACAAATTTAATATACACTCCAACTTGTGGTGGGGGTTATAGTTACCACACTTTACTAATCGGTCAAATGTTGGTTTCTTTGGTACACTATTTACAACAAATCTGACAAAAACATACATGGATTCTGAATCTTGAAACGATTTCTAGGACTGATTCGATAATGCAAAATTTGATATCAATCGGAAAAATATTGAGGTTTTGGTGAGCTGCATACATGGACAACAGACAGCGGAAATTCGACTGTTCTATTTAAATCCTTGAAAGTAAATTCGAGAGGCCTCGGTTATGGATGAAAAATCGGATAATCAGATCAGGTTAATGACCGATTATGTTGTTCGACTATATGCCTGCGTTGCCATGAATAGTTATAAATATTTATTAATTTTACCACAAATGAGGTGAAAGAAGTTGAACTATCGCCCAGCTACCCACCAGCATCTGTATAAATTAAACGGTCGGTTTAGCAATATGATTTTAATTTATTTTAAAGTGAGAAACGCCGACAAGGACGCATTTTTTAATTTTTATACCCTTCACCCCACTGTGGTGTGGTGAAGGTCGACTTTCTAAGTCGATTTATGCATGTCCGTTCGTCCGTCCGTCTGTCTGTCCATGTTAAATTGTAAACAAAGTACAGGTCGCATTTATGATCCGAATTGGATGAAATTTGGCATAGGTCACTTATTCGGCCCAAGGACGAACCCTATTGAAATTGGGAAAAATCGGTTCAGATTTAGATATAGCTCCCATATATATATATATATTTAACCGATTTAATGTAAACGGTCCCTATATATCTTTCGATTTGCACGAAATTTGGTACAGCCTAATCATTTAGGTATAGAATAATGTCTGCCAAGTTTCGTGAAGATCGGTCCAGATTTAAATATAGCTCCCATATATAGTTTCGTCCGATTTCATGTAAATGGTGCCCCAAAGTCCCTATATATCTTTTGATTTGCACGAAATTTGGCACAACGTACTGAATTAAGCCTAGAGTGATGTCTGCCACGTTTCGACAAAATCGGTTCAGATATAGATATAGCTCCCATATATAGTTTCGTCCGATTTCATGTAAATGGTGCCCCAAAGTCCCATATATCTTTCGATTTGCACGAAATTTGGCATAACGTACTGAATTAAGCCTAGAGTGATGTCTGCCAAGTTTCGAGAAAATCGGTCCTGATTTAGATATAGCTTCCTTATTTGGTTTGTCCGATTTCATGTAAAGTCCAAGTCCCAAAGTCCCTTTATGTTTTTCGATTTCACGAAATTTGGCATAACGTACTGAAGTGAGTCTAGAATGATGTCTGCTAAGTTTCGTGAAAATCAATATAGTTATATAGTTTCGATTTCATGTAAATGGTGCACCACATATACCTTGCGATTTAGATATTTGGCTTCAATATATAGTAGTTGCGTTTTCGATTTCATGTAAATGATATACAAACTTTTTCTCATTGTAACAAACGAATGACATGTTTACGAATAGATCTGGGTAGATTCACATTTAAATAAATATCACATATTTTATTTCATCCAATTTCATGTTAATAGTCCTGTTTAATATACCCATAGTGGTGAAGGGTATCATATAGTCGGCCCCGTCCGACTTTACTACTTTCCTTACTGGTTAGAAGATTTCGGAATACAGTAGCGCATCGAAAGATATACAAATATATTTATTTCGTTCTTAAATTAATATAATCTATCTTTTTTAATACTTTTTTATTTTTCTGAAATAAAATAAAATACTTTAACAATCCAATAGTCCTCGATTTAAGAGCCAAGGCAAAATAGCTTCCATGTGTTTTCTGTAACGAGCATTTGAATACATTTGTCTCTTGAACGCCAATCCATCATCTGTCTCGGATATGAAATTATCTAAATTTGCATTGTCACTGGGTTCACACAAAACCGGGGCCATAACATTGGTGATTGAAACATAACCTTAAAACATAATAAATAAGTATTTTTTTACTATTATTATAATGGGGTTTCCATTGGCAGTCGAACAAAACTTACCCCAAATTCCATACTTAAATATCATACAATGGATATCCCTGAGACTTGGTATCTTCTTTGGATATTTCAACAGTCTTAAATTTTCCGCCAGTAATTTATGATAATAGGCTATCATATAATCAAATTCTTGAAGTTTAATTTCATATTTACACGAAGTCAATATAAAATACAATATATCCTGGGCTGGGGAGGAATAACTGGGCAGTTGATAGTCCACCAAATAGGTCTCAAGCAATTCTCCCGACTTCTCGTCATATTTAAACATTATATTGTTGGACCAAACATCCCCATGATTGAGGACTCTGAATTCATCTTCCTCTTCCCCATCTCCGTCATTTGTGAAATTTTGTGTTACCTTATAAAGTTCATCGGTTACCTGGTGTTGCAGTTTAACCACCTTCTCATAATACAAATCAGAATTGGAATATTCTCGTATACATTCCAATAGCATTTTTGTTGAACTGTCAAACATTTCTTTCATCATGTCATAGCATTCATGACGAAAATATCCCGCTGAATAGATATCTGGATATAATCCTTTTTGCTGGACCCGTACAGCAGATGCAGCATGCCACAGAGCCAATTTATTGAGTACACTTTTTGAGTGTGCCATATCTAAACCTTCGAGACGATTGGCATTACGAAATCCTAAATCTTTAAGATTTTCTAAGAGTATGTGAGTCTCATCGGTGGCCAAGCGATATGATTTTGGTCCAAATCTTACATTTATCCCAGCATCTGCTAAAATTTGCTCCAATTCTGGTACAACATCACCATATATTCCAGATTCAACATCAAACATATTATATGTTTGTATTAGTTCTCGAAACAATTCGTTGTCGTGTAGAACTTTTAGCATAAAACTTTGGGATTTATTGGAACCATCTGAGGAAAATGAGGATGACAAGTTTTTAGTTTTTATTCATACAATATTTATAATATCAAATTGATAAATACTAAAAAAAAAATATACAAACCTTGCAGTTTCATGACGATGTCAACTTTCAACATAATCGATGCATAATTCTCTCCCGGCGACAAGGCTCCATTAACCTCAAATTTTTCAATTGACAAGAAGTTTGGATCTATTTCCCTAAGGACATCTTCGAAAAGTTCCGCCTTAATCCATAGAGGGACAATTGGATCTAAGACGTTGTTATTATTTTTGTTATCGTCAGCCATTGAATCAATATTTTTCTCCCGACAGAAGAAATTACATTTGTGTACGACTTGAAGCGTTTACGATGTAAAAGTGATTTGAACATAGTTATGCAGCCTCCTATGAGATGAATTAATGAATAAATATAGGGGCATATTAACTATGAAAGTAAAGCTTCGGAAAAAGCTTTTGACATTATTTAAACGATTTTCTTAGAATGCGTTGCACATCAATTGAATAAATATGACATTTACCAGCTGTTTGTATGAAACTGTAGATTATTCTCGTCACAAAAGTGAGGAACGTACATATGTGTAATTTAATCCGACATTAGGGTGGATAATAAACAACTCCTTTAAACATTTTTAAACCCAACACTATAAACACTGCAAAGGTGCAAGTTACATTTCAGAATATACTTAGAACCGCATCGCACTGTGGTCCAGGGTATTATAGGCCCATGGTTCCCTTTAAGAATATGCATAGAATCGCAAACAAAGTACAGATCGCATTTATAATCCGATTTGAATGAAATTTGGTACAGCTATTTTTTTGGCCCAAGGACGAAACCTATTGAAATTGGTGACAATCGGTTCAGATTTAGATATAGCTCCCATATATATTTTTGTCCGATTTTATGTTATGTGAATCAATGTTTTATGTTTTATGTGATACAAAGTTCCTATATATCTTTCGATTTCCACGAAATCTGACATCGCATACTGAATAGAGTGTAGAATAATGTGTGCAAAGTTTCGTGAAACAACTTCTCAGATTTAGATATAACTCCCATATGATATGATATATTAGTATTATTCAAATATTTTTATAGTTTTGTCAAAAACCCCGGGGTAGTTACGATATTTGATGTGGCATATTCGTCACCCATAGGCTAAATCCAATAAAGGTTATATTTTGTTTACGTATGCCACTTAATGTTCGGCATTTAAGGCTATATTTTATATCGGCGGACATTGACTTCTCAAGGACCCACAAATAATAAGAAATATCAAAGAAATATCATATCTGTATCTGTATATATATAAAAACCAGTGAGCGGAGCAGTATAGTCCGACGGGGCCGACCATATGATACCCTACACAACTTCCACGAAAAACTAACTTTCTGTGGATTTATATTCTGAGCTTGGGCAATATTTCGCGATATTTGAACCATCTGGACCAACTAGAGGCCGATAATTATAACTAATGTTCAGTACAGCCCTTCTAATTACTTGTCCAGATTCCCATCCTTGTGTTGTGATTTTCTTATTCTCATTGGAGCCTATAGATCGACTCGAAAAAACACAAAAAATTAAGTTTCCGGTCCACTTCATCACAATATAATTATAGGCGTTATCCTTGATCATAACTAGAACTTCATGGAACATTTTAAAGCGATCAGCGCTATATTTCCGCCCTCTAGTGTGGTAAAAGGTTACTAAATAATATCTGAATACATAAGCACCTTTAAATGTTTAAAGTGGGCCACACACCTCAAACATGTGCGTTCGATGGGTGTGAAGCTCCTAGCCCACACGTCAAACGGATCCATTAAACTTCATTTCATATTTATTTTTGAAGCGTGAAGATGGACCGCGATAGTGATGACGGAAAAAAGACGAAATATTTTTATTTAATATAAATGTATTAAATACTTTTATTTTATTCCGGGAAAAAACATTTTTATTTGCCACACAGTAGAATATGTATAAAAACATCAAAAAATCTTCCAAATACATATGTATTGCATTTGTCCGCTGATCCGCACTCCACGAAATTTCTCTACAAATGAGAAAATATCCACACACCAGGCGACAGACGTCAAACATGTGTGCCTCGCACAACGAAAAATTAAAAATTTTTAATTTCTTTCGATCGGTGTGCGCACCGGCAAATCGGTGTGAACACCGTACCACACACGTCAAACATTACTTCGATTCACACAGATCAAACGCACATGTTTGACGTGTGTGGGCCACTTAAGTGTAACTCCCACATCTGAGTACATACGACCATATAATTGGTATCAATTTAAAGGCCAACCACTGCCCTTGGATATACCAACAACTTTTCGGGTCTATGTCCTTCAGGTGTGAATCTATACGCTACAGAATACAAATTTTGTAATTTTTCACATAAAAGTCAGGGTCCATTTGACCCGCTAAATATTGACCGATCCTTATCAGGACAGGCAAGCTTATTCTTTGGCCCGATCCCCTTCTCTATGTAAAAATTCGCGATGTTTGGGTCATAATTGCGGCCTCTAGAGCGACCAGAAAAAACGATAACAATTAATTATTTGGTCCATTTAATGGGTCTAGGACCAATATTTCGCGGCGTTACAAACTCTTGGGGCTGCACAAAGCTATAATACATAAAATACATACATATTACATCTATGTGATCGCTAAACTCAAAAACTACTGCACCGATTGGGTCCAAATTGTATGTACATGTTTGAAGTTCATCCGACATATGGCGCAATATTTAGTTTTTTGTGTTTTTGCACCGTAACTCAAAAACTACTGCACCGATTTTGACCAAAAGTTATGCCTATGCTCTATGGAGCGTGATGAGAGTTTCTGTTTAATTTTAAGTTTGTCCGACAGATGCCGCGATATATAGCATCTTTGTGTTTTGCCAGATTAGAGATTGGGTGCTTATTTCGACGTGTGCCGAAATTAAGTATATCTGTCGGTGTTGCCGACATAGGGTGAGGGTATAAAAAGGTATAGTAACTCATAAATTGAGAACGGTTTGAAAGTTTGCCGGGTCTGCTATGTAAAAATATAAAAGGCCGTACATCTAAATAGCGTTACGAGAGTTATTTATTTTAGTATTTGATGCACAACGAGAACTTCATATCGAAAACGTCATTGCCGAAGCTGCCCTAGTTTCCCCTACGTACAGTAAAAATTTGAACTTTTTATCGTTTTTTTTTTTTTAATAAAATGTATTTATTGGAATTATTTTTTTGGTTTTGGTTTAGATTAGTGTTGTTATTGCATATAACTTTTTTCATAAAAAATAATGGTACATGTATAGTTTTTTCTTCAAATGTGAAATATTTTAATATTTTGACATAATAAATTCATGAAAAAATTCGGTTTTGTGTATATTAAATAGATATAGAATATATCATAATTAGAACTAATCTTACAATAAATAAATTATATTTAATTGTTCATTTATAGATCCAAACATCCACGATTTTCTAGCCATGGGAAAACAATGGCTGCATTTGCCTTAAATTTCGAATTCAAAAATAAGTCATCACGGAATTTTTTGCCTTCGGGTGTATCAGCAGAAAAGTTGGCTAAATTGGCATGCTCATTAGATTCTAAAAGACATACCGCGGTTGTACCAAATGTGGTATTGAAACCTATATGAAAATAATACAAACAAATAATAAGAATCGATTTGAAATGAACAAATTATTATAACAATTTACCTAAGTAACCATATTTCAACATCACTTGATGTAATTCACTTAACGATGGTATCGATCCAGCATATTCCAACATTTTCAAATGTTCTACCAATCGTTCATGGTAATAACGTATGAAATAATCGAAACTATCTACCTTTATTGATTGTTCTGTCGAAGACATTATAAAGTACCAGAGATCCTGGGCTGGGGAGTCGTATTTGCAGACTTGATAATCAACAAAATAGGTATTCACAATTTGGCCGGTTTCATCGTGTTTAAACATGATATTATTTAGCCAACTATCACCATGATTCAGAACATTGAATTCTGTTGGATCAACCTGGCCTAAGCGAATACTTATATCAATCATATTATCTAAGAGAGTGGGCTGAAATAAGTAAAATAATTATTTGAAATTATTAATATTAAACATTTGTTACTCAAAATATTAGAAATATTGCATATTTTAATATTTTAATCACAAAACTTACCACTTTATCCAAATACCCCTCATTGTTCTCGAACTCATTGAAATATGCAGCAAACTTTTTCCTATCGATGAGTTCAAACATTGCTCGACTTTCTTCGGTGTAGATACCTTTGTGCAGTTGTTCTGGGAAGGGACCATTCACTTCAACATATTTTGCCGATACAGCATGGAATTGAGCCAATTTGGTAAGGACCAATTGGGTATGAGTCATGTCCAAACCTTCACGTCGGTTGCCACATTTAAAACCACTCTCAGAGAGATCTTCCATAATTATCACATCGGTACCAACATCTTTGCTGAATTTATATGCCTTAGGTCCAAAATGTACTTTACAATTATATTTCGAATATAATTCTTCAAATTCTGGTAAATATTTTGTATACATAAGTATTTCTTTTTTAAAGAAATTCCATACGGAAACCATGTCATTTTCTTCTTCAGATGCGAGTGGGAATTTGAGGATATATGATTTGGTAACATTGCTGCCGTCCTTTAGCAAGGCATCAACTTTTACTCTTAGCAAGCTAGAGGCATAATTATCACCAGATTTGGTAGCTGAGTTGGCAGTGATATTGGTAATCTTTTCGAAATCGGGAAAATCAGATTTTAGAATATCTTCAAAATGTTCTGCGTCAACCCAGGAAGGAACTTTAACTTGTTTCATTTTCAGTTGTGGTGTTTCAATTCTAAAAAGAGATAATTTAATTAAATATGAGACAAAATATTTAAAAATAATTTGAAGTCGTAATTGAATAATTAAGTCGATTTTTACTTTTATAGAATGTTGTGCTTTTGATTGTGGGCCGATATTGTCCAGGTACCCTGTAAACGAGTTACATATAGAACTTTTGGGAATATTTTACCGATACGAAGCAAAACACACATCCTTTCGTTGTATTCGAATTTTAATTGTGGTAGAAAAACTAACAAAAATTATTTTTTAGAACATTTGGTACCATAGTCCAAAAAAGAATCGGTCCATAATCGTGACCTATACATTGATT